ACAGTTAGTCCCTCCGTCTGTCGGGGTCGTCCTACGTCGGACTCAACAGACGGATCATGCTCGTTACGTAGTCGAGAGAAATCTGCCTATTACTTTCCGTTCCTTAGTCACATTCTGTGGGTGTTTTGGCGGAACGATAGTGTTCTCTCAATCCCCGCGGACTATTGCAGCGGTTTCGGAATCGAAACGTCGGTTGGCACTGAAGCACTGGTTCATGGTGAGCATCATTATGACACACGTTTCTGGAGGACTGAAACGTTTCGTGCCCTATCAAATTCGAACGATGACTCTAGGGTTTCGTGCTCGGGGAATTTATGTCTCTTATAAATAGAGGAGACTTGTCATTTGATTGATTCACTTCATTTTTTGCTTAAGAGGGTTCTTCAAACGTAGCTTTTTCTGATACCTCGAATTTTTGCTTATCTTCTTGTTCACTGAAATCTTCCATTTCTTTTCCTTATTGCTTCTTTGGTGCATTTTCTGCTAAAAAATGGCCGGTGATTCTTCTCGCGACCCTCTTCCTACCGCTAACCCTGCACCGGAGAGTTCTGTTCAGGTCACCGGAGGGGTGGAAGCGGCGGAGGATGAGGAAATTCCTTTAGTGGTTGAGATCTTGCCTCGTCCAGGGAGAGAGGTGACTGGCTTCAGTTTTGGCAGTGGGGCAGAACCGGAACCCGTCGCCTCCGTCATGAGAGAGAGGGGGATTATGGAGTTGAAGGAAAGGTGGGGAATCCCCAATTATGTCGATATGCGGCCAATGGATGGGAACGACAGAGTTCACTTTGATTGTCCCGGGTATTGCGTGTTCTACGCCTACCCCTTCATCGTTGGGTACACACTTCCTCTTCCCATGTTGGTGGTGGATTTTTGTCGTTTCTACAAAGTATGCTCCGCCCAGCTTTCGCCTTATATGTACAAGTTGTTCCTTATGCTGCTCAAGTATGCGGAACTTGCCGGTTGTAAGGTCACTTTGGACCATATTCTCAGCATTTTTGCCCCTCAATTAATCCACGGTTCGATGATCCATATGCGTCCTCGAGGGTCGAAGGATCTGGTGGTGAAGATGGACGACCGAACCAACCGTCGTTTCTATGAGAACTACTTTTACGTGCGGACTGAACATATTATGGCGGACCCAATGGGATTCCACGAGAGATGGAACTTCGCGCGTAAGTTTGCATCTGTAGTTAATGAAATGTTCGACCGTTTTTTTAGTACTAAAATGTGCTTCATTTTTGCAGCTGAGAGATGGCATCGAAGGGATTCATGAATGGGTGGAGGCTATACTTCCCCATACAGTGAGGATTCGCACGTGGTCGTCCTTTCATGAGAGGTTCGGGCGCAGGCCCCTTACAGGTGGGTAGACGTCTTTATCTACTATGCTCTCTTCTTCTTTTTTTGTTAGCCTCTTACACATTGTCTGTCGTTGCCAGGGAGGGTGCGGAGAGCAAGGGCCCCTCAGCTAGCCTTTCGTCAGCTGACCGCATCTGCTCGACCTATCGCAATATCTACTGCACGACCTTCGTCGAGGGCCGCCTCGATTGAATCTGTAGCCTTGATTACTCCAGCGAAGGCCGCTTCCCAAGACGAGGTCCCGACCAATATCATTCGCCAAACGGATGAATCGCCGTTTACTGGAGAGGAAGAGGGGCTATCGAGGAGACGGAGAGTAGAGTTTGAGACGGCGCCCCCCACAATAATTCATCTAGGCAACTCTCCCCCGACGGGCTCCGGAGGAGATATTACTGCGGCTCCTATCATAGGGGCAGAGCAAACTGTCGAAGTTATCGGTGCCCGCGATCAGCAGCCAGAAACTCCTGCCGCCGCATTGGCTCAACCAGAAGTTCCTGTAGTTAATGATGATCAATACCTTGTCGTGGTAGAGGACCAAACCTCTGGGGTTGCTATTATGACTTCAGACGTGCCATCATCTTCTATAGCGGGTCGTGCTCTTTCTTCAGCAGCAGAAAGGGGAAAAGGCGTGGTGGTTGATGATTATGAGTCTGAGTCAGACCTGGACCCCGACAATGTTAGGATGTTTGAAGAGGGTCTCACTCATTCGGTGGTTAACGCGGGGGGCTCGGCCTGTATCCTTCAGATCCCTTCCGGCGTTAATCTCTTGGCGGAGGGGGAAGATCTGGTACCGCAATTTAGCCTGTTATGCTCCGAGGCCGAGAACGAGTCCCTTCGGGATGTCCCCGATGCCAAGTTGAGGGATGAGGTGGCCGTCATGGGCTTGAGGGTACGTTACATTTCATTTTCATTTTATGCTTTTGCCCCTTTTGAAATTACTAGTTTAACCTCGTTCTTCTATTCTCCAGACATACATGGTGGAAGTGGAGAGCATTCGCAGGGTCAATGTTCGGGCAAGGGTTTTCTTGAAGATGTTGGAGAAATATCGTAGCTACCATGACAGATGTCGCGAGATGCACGAGCGGCTGAGGACGGATCCCCGTAATCGGGCTCTTGGTGAGGAGTTGGAGAAGAGGGACCAGGAATTGATGTAGACCATCCGTAGCAAGAGTGAACTCGAGGAGCAACTTCGCATTAAGGATGAAGATCTAGAGTTGGGTAAGGGAGTCATAGCGGAGTGCGAGCATTTGCGGGGTAGGTTGAGGTCGATGTAGTCAGAGATGAACCAGAACCTAGTCAAGGTCGAGGCAATGAGCACGGAGTGGATGAGAAAACTTACCACGATGGAGAGCAAAGTCACTGGATTGGAGAACATTGAGAGAGCCTGGTCTGAGGCTTTGGCAAGGGCGGCGACCCTGGAGAACACCATTTGCATACTTCAGTCCGAACAAGAGTCGGAGAGAGCGACAGCTACCCTGAGGGAGATGAGGCTTGAGGACCATATTGGCATGATTGATCAGGAGGCATCGGTTCTGGGAGATCAGGTCATGTCCCTAGAGGCGAAAAAATGAGCAATTACGGGCTCAAGTTGAGTCATCTTCCGCTGTCGTTCCTCGTCAAATGCATGAGCTCTGGGTTTATGCTGAAGCCCAGCGGGACATATATAAGAGTTTGTGGGAGGCGGGCACCGTGGCCGAGGCTGCTTATGAAGAAGTGCAGGCGAAAGCTCGTGAGGCTCACATTAATTGTGGGTACAACGCGGCAACTCCCGAAGCTAACGGGGATGTGGATGATGGCAATAGGGAACGTCTTAGAGTCAGTGATGATAGTGGTGATGATGACGGCGGTGATGACTTCGAATGAAGAATGTTATCCTTTGTTTTTATTTTTTGTTTTGTTTGTCGACTGTCGTTTGTTGCTGTTGTTTTTTTCTTTGGTTGGCCTGGGTCATATGTAAGCGGCGGTAACCCGCACTGTGACCTTGCATAAATAATATTTCTTTTCTTCGCTATTAGCCTTGTACTTTACTTTTTATTTCAACCGTTCACGGCCTTAGTGCAAGATATAGACTCGTCTGATCAGTCCCGATTTTTCTTTTCTTCCGGTGGTTGCTGACCTTTAAGGACGTCGTTTCGAATTTATCGAAATGTCGGCCTGTCGTTGTTCGATCGAGGTCGAACCCATTTTTTAAATTTGGCGAAGGCCCTTAGCCTTAAAGAGTGTTATTTCGAACTCATCGAAATAATAGCCCATCGTCGTTCGATCGAGGTCGAACTCTTCTTTTCATTTGGCGAAGGCCCTTAGCCTTAAAGGGTGTTATTTCAAACTTATCGAAATAACAGCCCGTCGTCGTTCGATCGAGGTCGAACTCTTCTTTTCATTTGGCAGAGGCCCTTAGCCTTAAAGGGCGTTATTTCGAACTTATCGAAAATAACAGCACGTTGTCGTTCGATCGAGGTAGAACTCTTCTTTTCATTTGGCGAAGGCCCTTATCCTTAAAGGGTGTTATTTCAAACTTATTGAAATAATAGCCCGTCGTCGTTCGATTGAGGTCGAACTCTTCTTTTCATTTGGCGAAGGGCCTTGGCCTTAAAGGGTGTTATTTAGAACTTATCGAAATAACAGCTCGTCGTCGTTCGATTAAGGTCGAACTCTTCTTTTCATTTGGCGAAGGCCCTTAGCCTTAAGGGTGTTATTTCGAACTTATCAAAATAACACCCCGTCGTCGTTCGATCGAGGTCGAACTCTTCTTTTCATTTGGCGAAGGCCCTTAGCCTTAAGGGTGTTATTTCGAACTTATCGAAATAACAGCCCATCGTCGTTCGATCGAGGTCGAACTCTTCTTTTCGTTTGGTAAAGGCCCTTAGCCTTAAAGGGTGTTATTTCGAACTTATCGAAATAACATCTTGTCATCGGTCGATTGAGGTCAAACTCTTCTTTTCATTTGGTGAAGGCCCTTAGCCTTAAAGGGTGTTATTTCGAACTTAACGAAATAACAGCCCATCGTCAATCCCGATTTCTGGAGAGTTGGACATCTTTTGTGGGAGTCCCAGTTTGTTTGGTAGTGTTCGCACCGGATGGCGTAATGCTGGTGAATACGAGGCGTTGATATTTCGTTTAGGTTCGTGTTGTGTGTACCTCATTGTTTTCTTGTCTGATTCCTGCCGTTCGGCTCAGAGATGCTGCCGGCAGGAGATATTTCAGCTCTGTTGAAGCAACTTTTGTCCTTCGATCGAGATGTTCCTGTGTACGTTCGTCCACGCAAGTCTTACGTGCTTGCTCGGACAGAGTGGGAGGGGAGGATGAGATTTTCTTCGCTCCCGACCGGTGTTCTGGTGGGGGAATGCAGGTCGGTGACATTGTTCGATTTGTTTAGTATATCAATGGTTGATGGGTCGAAGATTTCTGAGCCCGGTGATCTTGCTTGGCTCTTCTTCTTCTTTTGCGCTGTTCTTATGTCCTGCGTGGGCTGGGTTTTTTCCTCCGCGCTCCTTTTGGTGAGTGATTGCATTTCTTGGTTTCGATATGGGAGAAACTAGGGAATTTTCACTAAGAAATTCGCACAGATGGCGCCAAATTGTTTGACTCAAAAGATATTGAAACCTTTTTGAAAATCAATCAAAGATGAAGGGGAAAATCTTAACCAAATATAATTAATTTCGGATTGAAACGTTAATGACAATGATTTCACCTGAAATGAGAGAGGCATGATTGATCTTATTAAGATTAAATTTTTCCCTTTCATCAATTGATGAAAAAGTGAATTTACATGTAATCTTCAAGGTTATTTCCTCGTTTTCTAGGATACAAGAGAGAAGCTTTTTCTCTTCCTTTTTTCTGGAAAAATATGGAAAGAGCCTCTATTTCTAGAGCTCTTTCTGGCTATATATAGTTGAAGCCACTGTACCCTTTGCTTGACTCGACATTTTCTTGTCGCTAGCGTGTCCCGGTCGCGTTCCTTTTGTTTTTAGGCGTTACTCTTTTCGACCTGTCGGAGATCACAGAAGAAAAATGGAGTGGGATCTATTAACGTTCACTGCTCAGTTGTTGTGGCAGGGTGTTGGATAACTTGGTCGTGGTGGTCAAATTTTGACTAAAACAACAACTATTACTACTAAATATTTTTGTAAAAGAATTACTCCTCTTTTACTTTTATATCATTGTCAAATACATGTTGGTTTAATTATTGAAAGAGATGTTTTGGTAATTAGTATTAACAATAAAAATTACAGCTAAAAATATTAAATAATCTATTTATATATAAATATAAAGTTGGGCAATAGGTTAGCTTATGTGGCGCTCTCCTGTGCCAGCTTTTCTATTTATCTTTTTTTCTTAGAATTTTGCCTTTTTCTTTTTATGCAACTTCTAAAAAATATTACTCTACTAGAAAATCCAACAGTTACATCTTTAAGAAAGGTTTCTAATGTAACGATTAAAGTAGATTTAATGTTAATTAATACCAAAAATTGTTGTTACTTCTCAGACCTTTAATATTCCTTAACTGGGAGGAGGAATCTTAAAGTTTCCAGCAATTACCTGACTTATATATATGGCACCAATAGAGATATGCAGCAATTCATGCAAGATGTGAAGTGAAGTGAATCAAATCAGATATTCAATCGAAACACAGTTATGGCCAATGGCTTTTCTGGCCGCATTTCTTCCCTCACCCACTAGCCTTCCTCTAATAAAGGTACTTTTTCCGGGTTGAGTTTGGTTTCAACGGATCCTCCCTAAATGGAGAAACAAAACAACTTTGTTTGCCCCGAAGAAAGAGAGAAGTTATTGAAAATATAGGTAATTGAAATGAAAAAAAAAATTGGGCCTTTTTCTTATGTTCTTTTGGCTCCTTTCCTCTCCATCTAGATTTTTGCATGGGCTTTGTTGTAGTTGTTGTTGCAGAGAAATCAGGACTAAACAACAAATTTTTACTTTTAGTCGGTTTGGTCTCCCTTTCCTGATGCTATCTGTGATGTATTTATGGGAGGAGTTTTGGGAGTACTGGAATGGTAAGAATAATAATTAAAAGAAAGAGGTAGAATTGTTAGATTTTGCATAATTTTGTAGCATAGAGAAGATTTTATTGATTTTTTTTATAGAAATTAGGATGAAGAATGAAGAGAAACATAAAAAGAGAAAGAATAAGAGAAATAAGAAAAATATAGATAAAATGGGGAGATGGTAACTATGCAGAAGTTATGGGGAGGTGAGTGATGACCCGTGATCTGGAGGAGAAAGAAGGAAATGAAAATGCATAGAAGGAAAAACAAAAATAAGAGTAGAGAATAAGGGATTGTATCATTCACGGGTGGCCCATATTATATTCGTATTGATGTGCATTCCATCAATTTATTATTTCTTTCCTATGTTTGAGTCTTCCATTTTTCTTTTCTACTTTTATTCTAAATAATTAACGAAATTTTTGAAAGGACCAAAGTTGCCAAAAAGGAAAGTTGAGACACTCGCGTGCGTACACTACATCTTAAAACTCCCAATTGTAGAACCGAATGACACTAACTTTGTGTGCATGCAAATTTCTTGAGAGATACTAACAAAAGTTTTCCCTTCCATATTTAAATTTTATTTTTAAAATGCAGTGAATTGTAGCCTCTTTATAAAAGTTTTAGAGTGTTGCCTTTCTTCTTTGGTCGTCCCAAAGAAAGTCAATTACTTGAAAGGAAAAAACCAACTTTGAGTATATCATTGAATATTTTGTAGCAAAGAAATAACTAATATGTGATTGTAACTCTATAATTTATTGTTTATGGCTATGAGACGATTACATATATTCACTGGGTTGGCAATAACCAAGTGAAAATGAGGTTTGATGCAAACAAAATTTGACTTACTTTTATACGATCTCAAAGTTTGATTAAGTGAAAACAGGACATCTCTATTACACTAACTTATTGATTATCGAAAAAAGGGCGGTAATAAATTTTTTTGACAGGTTCTATAAGAGTAAGCTTAATGCCTATGTAAATGAAATGTAATTACTCATGAACAATATTTGGCTCTAAATGTAGTCACTAATAAATAGATTATTATAGTAATTAATATTATTTATGAACAATAATTAACACCATTCAAAGGCTTACGTTACTTGATTTTTAGACTACTAAAAGTTATGTGATGATTTTTCTTTTTGTATTTCATTTCTATTGTACTGCTACTATCTCTTTCTGTTTTAAAAAATCACTTTGTAATACATTATTATCTTTCCGCGCGCGGACAATTATTTTTAATATTTCTAGCTTTTGAATTTCTTCATGTTAAAGAATAATTTTTATTCCCTATTGATTTTTAAAATGTTTACCTTATTTTCATGTTGACGATTGATACTATATTGCATCTTAAATATTCCCAAATATTTTTTTGCCCCTCAAAGATTATATTTTTTTGCCATTTACTTATCTTATCAATTTCTATTGTTTTTGATAAATAGTACTACTACTGAGCTTTTGAATTTCTCCATGCTAATGAACAATTTTTATTCCCTATTGATGATTGATATAATCAACATAAACATAAGGTAAATATATTAAATATTCTCATATTTTTATTGTCCCTCAAAATTTTGTTTTATTTCCATTCATTTATTTTATCTTTTTTCCTATTTATTTGTTTGTAATTGAGCAAATAATTAAATTGGAGCTGCCACATTAAAATCATAAGTTTGAATTATTTGGTTAGATTTTTTGTAGTTCTTATGGAAAAGATAGTCAGTATCCTGAGATATTGGTAGAAAATGCAATTCAGTTTATTATTTATTTTCCTTTCTGTTTGTTTCTTTACTTTTCTATTCATATTTTTATTCGAATATAAGAAAGTTTTAGCAAAACAAAATATGTTACTATATAATAAATGAAATCAAGTAACTCTATAAAAGATTTATATAGAGATTCAAAAGTAAAAAATTCTTTAAACTTTTTTTTTTCTTATTTAACGATGAAAATTAAGTTCTTCTAAGCTCTACCTTTAATAAAAAAAATTACTCTTCAATTTTATTGATATATATTCAATTTTGACTAAATTTATAAAATCTGATCATGGTAAGTATCTTTCATAACCGCGCTAGCGCGGGCAATTTGACTAGTTAGGTAATGTGTGTAAATGTTCCAGAATATTGAGGACCACCAAAAAGCATTAGCTCCAAAGAATTATGTTATCCGACTCAAAAGAGAAAGGAGTACTTTATTTTACTAGTCTTAGGGTACGCGCGTTGCGCATGTATTCTATACTAATATATATTAAAAATCACTTAAATAATAATTTGCTTGAGTTATAAATGAAGATTAAATAAAAAATATATGTTCATGAAAATATTGAATGTTGATTTTTAGCCGTAATTCTCATTTTGCGTTTGTGGCGTTCAATTTAATTTTTCTCTACATCGTAATGTCATATTTATTATGCACAAGTTAAATTCATTTTGGAGTTCAAAGACTAAATTTTGAAAGAAAATTCGCATTATGACTCACATTTTAAGAATAAGTTCGTGCATTTTTTTGTGTTATGATTGTTATTGCCTTTTTAAAGTATAATTTGACAGATTTTCTTTTTTGAATTTACTCTTAAAATAATAATATCATCGTTAAAGACAAATATGCCATAGTTTCGGTCTACAAATGCTTGTGTCGCTAGAAAAATAAAATATACGATAAACAAAATTTCTTTTGAATAAATATTTTAATTAACTTCAAAGTCTTTATATGAGTATTGGTTGTTCATATAGTTTGTTATAAGAAAAGATTTTTTTATAAAGTAAAATCCTAATTAATTTAAAGCCACAAATTTTAGACTTTCTATCTAATAAGGAAAGATTTAGTAATTATTTTTTTAGTTGTTTTCAATGTCTTAAATATTAGGAAAAATATTAAATGACTACTTTGTCGTGAGCTCTATTTTTAAAGAGTAAAAAGGGCGAATAACATTTTGCTAAGACCATTCATAATTTAGAAAAGATTTGAATTAGATTTTTAGCTAACTAATTAATTCAAAGATTTAATAATTTATTGTCAACATTAAAGGAAATAATTTACTTCCTCGTTGATTTAAATTATTAATATTGTTCATCTCCAATTTTAAATATTTAACTATAATATAATTTTATTCACTAAAATTCTATTCCTATTGCCTCTAGGCGGAAGAATCGATTTGAAAAGGAGTTAAAAATGCAAAGAAACGTAAATCCTTTACTTCTTTCCCTTTCATTTGTTTTTCTTTATTTCCTTATTCTGAAAATTAGTATTAGAAAAAATAAACATGGAAGGTTTTATTACTTTCTTAGGGAAGTGTTTATATAAAGTAAAGTTTTAATCGATTTCAAAATGTAGAACTTTCTACATATTCAAATAAGGAATATATTTTAAACCAAAATTTTAGTTGATTTAGAACTCCTAAAAATTAGGAAAAAACTTAAATTACAATTTGTCCTACATAAAATCTACTTTTAGAGGGTAAAAAAGGCGAACGATATTTCGCTAAGGGCCTTCGTGCTTTTAATATAGTATAGATATAGATTATAAGTATATACTATGAATTTAATGTTCAAAAGGATTAAAAAACTAATATTGTGACGACCCAAAGGAGTCATCACCGGTTTTCTCCCTTTTTTCGTGCTTCCGAGGCCTTGAAAACCTCATCTTTAGTTGTTTTGATTTGCGTGCGTAGTCCGGGCGTGTAGCCGGAAAAGCTTATGTGTTAAATTATGTGAAATTTGATAAATTGTGGCTTTAAAATGGTTAAAGTTGACTTTGGTCAATATTTTGGGTAAACGGACCCGGAACCATGATTTGACGGTCCCGGAGGGTCCGTAGAAAAATAGGGGACTCGGGCGTATTCCCGAAATCGAAATCCGAGGTCCCGAGCCCGAGAAATAAATTTTTGAAAGAATTTTTTTCTTAAATTTAATATGAAAATTTGAAATAAAAATGAATTAGAAAGCATTGGTATCTGGCCCGAATTTTGGTTCTGGCGCCCGGTACAGGTCTTATATGTGGTTTAAGCGCTTTCTGTGAAATTTGATTGAAATCGGATGTCGTTTGACCTGTTTCGGACTTAAAACTCTAAATTTGAAAGTTTTTGAGGTTTGAAGAAAAACTAGTGATTTTGAGGCTTGATTCGTTGTTTATGATGGTATTTAGCGATTTGATCACACGAATAAGTTCATATGAGGTTGTTGAGTTAGTACATGTGTTTGGTTAGGAGCCCCGAGGGCTCGGGTGTGATTCGGATGTGTTTCAGGATGGTTTTGGACTTAGAAAAGTTGCAGAAAATAGCAGTTTTGGTGTTCTGTTACCTAGTGCTATGTGATCGCATAGGCCTTTCCGCGATCGCATAGAGTGAGTTTCCAGGTGCCCTGTTTGTTCTATGCGGTTGCATAGATCCTCCTGCGATCGCGTATAGTAGCCACCATCTGTTATATGCGATCGCATTCCCCTTCCGCGATCGCAAATGCATAAAAACCAAACCCGGAATGGAGCCCGTTTTCTTCTATGCGTTCGCAATACACTATTTGCGATCGCAATGGGCAACCTTCCTCTCCCTATGCGATTGCATGACCTTCTTCGCGATCCCATAGAGCATTTTTCTGCCCAGTTATTTTTTTAAAAAAACTTCAGAAACAGTAGCTACGGGATTCATTAGAAAGTTCACAAAACCTTTTCTTCTCCAAACTCTTAGGCGACCATTGGAGCGATTCTTCACCAAGACCTCTTGGGTTAGTAATTCTTAGCTTATTTCCTTCCATTTCCTTCAACATCAATTGAAATCCTAGGCCTAGAATATGTGATTTAAGGTAGAAATTGGGTAGAGTTAGGGCTTTTTACTTTTCTTGATTTAGACCTCGTTTTGGGGTCGAATTTGAAAACAAATTATATATTCGGGCTCGTAGATGAATGGGTGATATGAATTTGATCCGAACCTCGTGTTTTGACCAAGCGGGCCCGGGGTCGATTTTTGAAATTTTGGGAAGAAAGCTTAGAAATCTATGTTTAGGCATTAGGTTTGATTTGTTTAGCTTATATTGATACTATAAAGTCGTTATTTCATAGATTTGATTAAGTTGGAGCCGAATTCGAGAGGGAAAGCGGTCATTGTGGATTAATTTAGCCGTGGAAGTTGAGGTAAGTGTTCGGTCTAACTCTAGCTTGAGGGATTAGGAGTTGAGTCTTACTTACTACTTGCTTTGTGTTGTGTCCGACGTATAGGTATGGTGACGAGTATCTATACGTTGGGGGTCGAGCATGACCGTGAGTCCTAAATTGCTAAATTGTTGTATTCTTA